TCCCCAGTTCACGTGTTGCAGGCTAGGTTCATGAGCGATCCCTACCTAGCAGAAAAAAGGGCCCACTCTTGAAACCCTGTGATGGAATGGTAGGGCCGCGCCATGCCAACAACTTTCATTAGCATGCTGCCGGAGTCCGAGTACCCAAATCAATCTTTCAAACCAGCAGCAGAATACTACAATTTACAACCTCAGAATCACGCTGTCTCGGTGTGTCTATGAATGCGATGGATGGATGCATGCATGCGAACTGTGCATAGGTATGTCACTCTCTATCAGTCCTTTGTGTTCTTTCTCCCGTCCCTCCGTGTGGTGTGTCTGTCTTTGTGCCTAGCTGCACCTTTCCTTTGCGCTCAAAGAAGGCAAACCCAGAACTCTTAACCTTTGGTCTCCGTGTCGATGGGCACTTGGACTGTGAGGGTCACGCAGCTGTCTCCTACGGCATCTCGCTCAGAGGCTCCTGGCTCCTGCCAAGCGGTGTAACAGGGCGGGATGTGAGGACTTTTAAGCTGGTATCGAGACCCTACATCCTCAGCTCACAGCGTGACTAGCACTGCCGCAATTGGGGGGGCAAGGTTGGGCGAACTGCAGGTCAGTTTGACTTGCTGACAACCGTGCACAACCCAGGCAAAGAGGGACAGGTTCAGGTTTTGGGTTCTAGGGGTTTGGAGCTTCGGGGGCTTGCAGGTCCGAGGCGCATTGCATTTAAGGTGCAAAGGCCAACTATTTCGAGGTCTTCGTGGTTGAGGGCTCGGCATAGGGCGGTGCAGATGCTGTGCTCAAGGGTCCCATGCCTTTACTTCCGGGCGAAAACTTGATAGGGCGTGCCTGAAACCGAACTCCTGCTATCGAGCAGAAAGCGATTGAAGCAGCACTTGTCTCTCTCCAGGAGCATTGCGTGGAGTGGCTTGGTTTTTTTGGCGCTGCCCACACAGAATCGCGAGTCTGGCCTGGAGTACCTGTGCTCCATCCGGCCCGCAATCACGTCTCGTGACTTTTCGTGTCTCAGCACTTTCACAGGTCTTTTGGGGGGGGCTCTGGCAAGTCCGTGCCAGCTACCCCCAAAAGACAAGCAAGGGCCTGAGTCTGCTTGGGAGGCCGGCTGGCTTCCTGCAATTTTTTGAAACTATCAATGCTTGCCATGCAGCGTGCTACTACGTAGGCTGCTGCACGGAAAGCTCGTCAACCGATTGAAAACGCAACTCTCAGCCTCAGCTCAGAGAAGAGACATGGAGATGAGGCCGGCAAGGGATCCCAAGCTCACCTCCACAGCACCGCTCGATGTCGCGCTCGGTGCTGTAGTAGTTGTTGGTGCTGCTTCCACACTGCACGGGCAATACCCGCCAGAGCAGTCGCCGGTGAGCTCGTTTGTCGGCTTCTCGTAGCTGGCCATGCTAGCTGATCCACTCGGGAAGAAGCTGTTCGTGTAGCAGGAGCTCTCAAAACCGTGCTTGACGCAGATGTCGTAGTACTCCTTGGTTTCCATGAAGCTGGCAAGGCATGAGTTGATCAGTCCCGGCACAGCCGAGCCCGGTTTGGTCATCGCCAAGGTCGTGCCGTTCACGGCCCAGCCCTTCTGCCCTGTCTGGACGTAGGCATACTCTGTGCCAAAGCCTGACCAAAGGCTGCAATCCCACTCTGCTGCCACGTCTGCGCCGGCGCACTGGTAGAGCTGGGCTTGGTCCGCATAGAGGAACACCGCATCGCCCTCACCGTTGCGCAGCATCCGCATGGCATCATCGTTCTCGGGGCCGACCGCCAGGGTGTAGTTGGACGAGTAGGGCTGGTTGGTACACTTGTTGGTCACGTAGCCCAGGCCATCTGCGGTCGGAGCCCAACCACCAACGTCGATGATCGTCTTCCCGGCCAAGTCGTCCATGCCGCTGACCACCGGCTTGCCGTTCAAGAGCAAAGTCATGAGGCCCGCCGGCTTGTTGTCGTCAAGGATGGCGAGAGACCAGTCAGCCAGGGTGTCACGGAGTCCACGGCCATGGCTGTACGTCATGCAGGCGTCCAAGGTCCCATTCTCGAGCAGCGGCCCGAGTTTACCATCTGAAGTCCAGCAGTTCAGCCAGCCTGTCTCCACCGACCTAGGTCGGCCCTTAAAACCCCTCTGAAAAAAGAACATGATCCTCTGAAACCAAACAAGGGGAAATTATGAAATTTCCCAAGGGCCTACCGAGCGACTCGATGGTCAGGTTGTCACAGAGCGCAGACATGCCGTCGGCAATGTCCTTGCCTATGCCAGCGAGCTCACCCGTAGTCGTGTTCTTGTATGCGTAGGGAGGCCAATCCTAGGGTGCACTTGCCGGCTCCGTCTGGTTCTTGCGCCCTTCAACCCAACCCAAGCCCTCCCTCACCAAGCAGAAGAAAGAGAAAGAGAAGAAGAGGGCAGAAGAAGCAGAAGAAGAAGCAGAAGAAGAAGAAGAAGAAAGAGAAGAATAAGAAAGGCAAGAATAAAGGCAAAAGAAAGGGGCAAGCCATCGACGAGAGTCGATGTCCATGCCGAACCTCAAGGTCACGCCGTGGACGGCGCCCAGGAGGCCCAGGAAACTGGCGCTGGACATCGAGCCGTACCTGGGGAACCAGCAGATACTTGCAACGCGAAAATACGCGAAAGGCGCTCACGAAATTGTGCACGTATACATCAGTATACCATATATATATATACATATATATATATATATATTATATTATATTGTACCATATATATATATATACATATATGGTAAGCCCCCCCCCCCCCCAAGTTTTTTTTCTTGGTTTTTGGGCTTGCTCTTGGATTCGTGCGGGGTAGGTATTGGGGGTTAGCATATACATATAGATATGTATAAATTTATTTATTGTATGTATAGTACCATCTAGTTCTCTTGCCGGAATACCATGCAAAGATCCAGAAGGTCTACTCCCGGACGTGAGCGTTCGAAGACTGTTGAAATCCCATGCCCTGCTGCCCTGAAGATTTCACAAGGGAACCCATCTGCGGACCCCGAGGACGAGGCCTACGAACCGGGGCGACCCTCTACGGACCCTCGAAAAAACCCAAGCTCTTCATCATGCAGCCAGACATTCGATTAAAGGGGCCTCCTGTCGATTGTGGAACCTAAACCCTAAACCCTAAACCCTAAACCCTAAACCCTAAACCCTAAACCCTAAACCCTAAACCCTAAACCCTAAACCCTACTTGGGCCGGGCCGAGGCAGTGGAGGCACAGCCTCTATTGTTGCAATACAATCTTCCATGTACCCATCTAGTCTAATATAGGGGTTTAGGGTTTAGGGGTCGGAATAATTACTAGTAGTATTCCCTTCTGGTTCTTTCTTACAATTTGTCTATACTCCACCCCCCCCCCCCTCCAAAAAAAAAAAAATTAAAAAAAACCTATTCTAATTATTCAGGCCCCTTTATTACGTACTTCCAAGTCCAAGGTACATGGTGGCAAAAAAGCCGGGACGAAGACAAGGCTGCTGGTGCGGACAAGTCTCTGAGCCAAACTGAGGCCGACGTCGAAATCCTAAACCCTAAACCCTAAACCCTAAACCCTAAACCCTAAACCCTAAACCCTAACGAAGAGTTCCTGCATTTTTAGGCATGGCGTCTCATTCGGGTTCAGGGTTTAGGTTTTTAGGCCCAGGCCCCTGGGTGTGTAGGCCGTGTTTCGCAGCTCCTGCGCGACAGTGGAGCTGAAACTCGACGACCCTCCTCGGCGCCCTACTATTTCGTTGCTGTCGTCCCAGCTCCGAACTGAACAGCCCTGGTTTAGGGCTTAGGGTTTAGGGTTTAGGAACCCCAAATATCCTCAACCCGCTAATAACTTGGAAGTTCATGGTACTTATGAACCCATCGAATTATGGTTGCTTCTAAGTAGCTGGTTCAGAAGTACCATGAACCTCCAAGTAGTCTGAACTCAGTTTCGCAGCGATCTTCAGGTGCCGAATCCCCCTCCCAAATTCATGAGATCCACGCAAAGCAGGGTCTGGGGTTCAGGGGCTGCGGCCTTCTTGCATGCTCGCGTCGTCGACGTCGTTCTCGTCTGTGTTCTGTCACCATGTGCAGCGTAGATTTGGGGGCTTCGGGGTATCCACAAGACAACCTGCTGTGCCCCAAATCAAGTGGAGGAACCCTGAAAGCTGAAGGCGAAACCAAACCTAAACCCTAAACCCTAAACCCTAAACCCTAAACCCTAAACCCTAAACCCTAAACCCTAAACCCTAAACCCTAAACCCTAAACCCTAAACCCTAAACCCTAAACCCTAAACCTAACCCTAAACCCTAAACCCTAAACCCTAAACCCTAAACCCTAAACCCTAAACCCTAAACCCTAAACCCTAAACCCTAAACCCTAAACCCTAAACCCTAACCCTAAACCCTAAACCCTATACCCTAATTGAAGCCCTAAACCTGACAAGCAACGTGCACATCCACGATTTAGTTTCTTGGCTTGCCAGGCCAAGAAGGCAGAAGGTTTTGGCACCATTTTCTGCTTCTTTCTTTTGCTCTTTTTGGGGCAGGGAGGGTTTAGGGTTTAGGGTTTAGGGTTTAGGCGGGGTTTAGAGATCTGACGACAGGAAAGTGCGGTAACTTCAAGCTTGCACGCGGGGATTGGGCTGGAGGGCTTGGGCAGCAAAGAGCGCCTTCGGCGCCAGCACGATGATCAGCCCGCACAGGAATCTTTGCCTGCGGAGCTCCGCTAGGATGCACCGTACCAATGGGTTTAGGGTTTAGGGTTTAGGGTTTAGGGTTTAGGGTTTAGGGTTTAGGGTTTAGGGTTTAGGGTTTAGGGTTTAGGGTTTAGGGTTTAGGGTTTAGGGGCACACGACAACGCCCAAACATCCTGCAGCACACCTGGGACCCAGAGCCCTTAAACCTTAACCCGACTGTTCTTACAACAAGGGTACCCCAAACCTTAAACACTTTAAAATATTCGGTTTGAAAGGGGGAGTGAAAACTTCAAAATTGCCCACGAGTAGCCCGGCGAACTCTTCGCCTTGCGATGCTCCTCACAGGTCCAACGTACCATACCTCAGGAAGTGCTGCAGGTGTAGGACTATCTGGACACAAGAAGAACCCAGGAATAAAAAGGGCACCCTTCTTGGTTTCAAGGGGGCTTATAAGGGAACCTGGACCCTAAAAAACAGAGAAAAAGAGAGCCACCCAGGGTCCTGGTTATTCCTGGGGTCTCGTGGCCTGGTCCCTGGACACTGCAGAGAGTTCCGCAAAAGTCCACCACTCCTGCTCGCTGATTCCCAGCAGTTAGCCCAAACACCTCGCAACACCTCAAGTCAAAGCCCCGAACAGCACTGTACACCCAACTGCCTAAACTTAATTATTAAGGTCCTCATAGGGAATTTAGGGGAGTCAATACCCAAATAGTCTTCTTTAACGGTTACTTTTCTGGGAGACACGGGGGGTGGTGATACGGTACCTATTTGGGGGTTTCCGAAGTTAGGGGTACCTTATTGGGGCGAGCCCCCCTCCCTTGAAGAACCCTATAATCTTCCTACGGCCTCTGGGAAGTGGGGGGGTTTAGGAACATAGGGGGAGCCCTAACATAGACCCCCCAAGTTGTAGGATTCCCTTATAAATAAGGACCCAAGTAAGGTACCCCGAACTTCGGATGAAAGAGAAAGCGAAGCACGAGTAATGTAGGCGCCTGAATAATTAGAATAGGTTTCGTTTTTTTTTTTTTTTTGGGGGGGGGGGTTATTGTAGTATAGCTACAAGGGGACCATAAGGGAATGTTACTAGTAACTATCCCTGTACCCCTATACGAACCCTAAAGCCCAAACCCTTACTAGCAAGTCTTCCTTTCAGCGAAACTATACTCCCCTTAGAACCTTAATAAAAAACAATATTTTGAGTATCCTCTTGGGTTTTATATAAACAAAAATAAAAAATCCCAAGGGGGATATTGTTATTAGTAATTGTTCCTTTCAGCGAAAGTTCCCCCTAAACCCTAAACCCTAAACTGTTGCCCTCAACCCTAAACCCTAAACCCTAAACCCTAAACCCTAAACCTCTCTTACCATATATATATATATAGATATATATATATATATATTAAAACTCTATACACCTTCGTGGCTAAGGGTCATTTCTTCGTGGCTAAGGGTCATTTCTTCGTGGCTAAGGGCAATTTCTTCGCTAAGGGCAATTTTTTCGTCGCTAAGGCAAATTTCTTGGTCGCTAAAGGCCATTTCCTGCGTGCTAAGGGCCATTTCCTGCGTGCTAAGGGCCATTTCTTCGTGGCTAAGGGTCAGTTCTTCGTGGCGAAGGGTCATTTCCTTCGTGGCTAAGGGTCATTTCCTTCGTGGCTAAGGGTCATTTCTTCGTGGCTAAGGGTCGGTAGGATGGTCCATGACAGAGTGAGGTCGGAGGACAGGGCTTGCTGATGAAAAATGTGATTTTTTCTTAATGTTTTGGGATTTTCTGGGTGGGTGGGTTTTTTTCGAGAGCCCAAACAGCACCTCTACTGGAGATTGCTCGACCCGGAGCTGCTGAACCCTAACCCTAAACCCTAAACCCCCACCCCCCTTCCTCGCTTGCAGCCCGGCGACATGCGCGCCGCGGATCGCGGCTGCGCCTGTGCAAAGAACACGCCCCCCAGTGATGTTAAGGGTAGGGTTTGAGGGTTTTTGAAGGGTTTTTAAGGGTTTTGAAGGGTTTAGGGTTTAGGGTTTAGGGTTGCTCAGCGCTCATCCGCCTCCTCCCGACGCCGGGTGAAGGCGGAAGTGAACTCCACCATCGAACCCATCTCCGACACCGCCTCCGATTGGGGGCGGGGGGGGGGGGGCGAAGTTTCATAGAGCTTGCAGGGATTGGAGGGTTTAGAGGTTAGGGTTGCCGCGATCTCATACGAAACTCGAGGAGCATTTAGGTATTCACTTTTAGAACTGACTCCCCTTTGTAGAAAGGATCTTAAACCCCAAGCCCTAAACCGGAAGCAAAACAAAACAAACAAGAAACAGGTGGCGGCTTCATGGAGCAGACCACAAGAAACTTCAGACCAACCCTAAACCCTAAACCCTAAACCCTAAACCCTAAACCCTAAACCCTAAACCCTAAACCCTAAACCCGAAACCCTAAACCTCTAAACCCTAAAGTTTTTTTTTTTTTTGGGGGGGGGGGGGGGCAACAGCCTCTTGGCAACAAGTCTGAAATGCGGGGGGGGGGGGGGGGGGGGGGGGGGGGGGGAGGGAGGGGGATGATGACGACGGTTCCCGACTGCAATCAGAAGGCCTTCGCAAGCGCCCGTAAGGTTCAGGGTCTGCTTGAAGGTGATAAAGTCAAAAAAGAAGTGGATAATGGTGGAAAAATGTTCATCCTGTACCACCTCCAAATTCTGAGATTATAGAAAGGAATAGGAAATGATACGAAAGTACAAGAATTAAGATAGAAAAATATTGACTCTAGGATATACCACTTCTGGAGAGCCTTGAAAGATAGGTACAAAGTAATTTCCAAATCCTCCAAACAAGCCAGGCATTACTAAAAAGAAGATCATAAGAAAGCCATGCAATGTAGTGCTTATATTATAGAGGTTCTGGTTTTCTGGAGATATAATCCTACATTCCGAAGGAGCATATACTCAATACGAGCACTTCGCATCCACTCCGTATTTTCTTGTCTTCACAGCTGTGGGCAATTCCGAGTCTGAGTTCTAGTGAACAGCTCCTGACACACAGGAGGTAATTGCATTGGTAACATCCGGACCGCTTCCGGGTCCCACGGTAGCCGGGTCAGAAACGCCTGATTCCTTCAGGTGACCCTCACGCTCCCGGGACGCATGACTCTCATGCAGCCCCTGTACCTCCGAAGGATGGTACTTCCCAAGACACGGATGACTCCACGGGAGCTCGGTGTCTCAGGGTGGGCGGGTGGGAGAAAAGAAATGTTCCAGCTTGCCAGTTTGGCTCTAGCCAAGTCTTAAGCCAAAATGTAGCAAGCCGGTACATTGCATCCTCAAAATGAAACATGCACACCCAAGGCCTGCCTAACTCAATGCATGTGCACATTCCGAAGGAGCATATACTCAATACGAGCACTTCGCATCCACTCCGTATTTTCTTGTCTTCACAGCTGTGGGCAATTCCGAGTCTGAGTTCTAGTGAACAGCTCCTGACACACAGGAGGTAATTGCATTGGTAACATCCGGACCGCTTCCGGGTCCCACGGTAGCCGGGTCAGAAACGCCTGATTCCTTCAGGTGACCCTCACGCTCCCAAGGCACTCACCCCAATGCACTTCACTACAAGTACTCGAACACCCGGATAGCTGCTTCCAGCGGTAACGCCCAGAGCTGAAATGGGAAGAAAGCTAAACTAGTGGAGAAGGAGTGCGACTGATGCCATTCGTCGTCGACTCCCAGCCTGCTAATGGCGTCGCTCCAATTGGATTTGGACGGCACCCATTCCCAATATATCCAGGTTTGGAAGACAAAGAGACACAAATGTATCAACTGCGCCAGGCGGGACAAATCAGAGTTGTCGGACCTCCCACGGATGAGGGCCATCAATGCCGCAGTGTTGTCGATGTACCAGATTCCGCGCCTCATGCGAAATCTTGCAGGCCGAGCCACCAGAGCGAAAAGCACCATGCTGAGCTCCAGCTGTGCAATTTTCTTGTCGCCCGGTCCCCAAAGGGCATAAAGCTCCTCCGGACATGCCGCGACAAAACCCTCTCGGACCTGGCTCGCACCTTGCTGCCAAATCAAGAGGAAACCTCCGGTTCCGGCTTGAGGCTTCTCCTCTGCTGCGTCACTCGCAGCTATGAAGCGTTGCACTGGTGGGTTGGACACCCAAAAGCGCCTCTCAGGACGAAATTTTAGGAGTGCGCGAATAAGCTGAAACGTCTGGAGGATGTCCGGCGAGAGGTCGGATTCTTTGCTGCGCTGCCTGTCACACAGAGCAGCGAGGCCACCGCATCCGACTCGTCCATACATGCCCTGCTCCAAGAAGTTCATCAGGCCAAACATCTTCGCAGCAAGCCCGGCCTTGAGCGAAGACGCAGTCTCGGATTGCTCGATGAGGTCGGACATTTTGGTGAACAGGCGTTCTCTCGCCCAAAAGGTGACGAACCCCCTCTGCAAGGCTTCGGAAAGGTCGTGGTCCAAGCCCAAGAAGGATCCTTGAACTGCCATGGGTTGCCTCTTCTCTTCGGCAAACGGCGTTCCCAGACACTTGTTGAGCTCTCCGACTGCCCATTGTCCGCTTCCTTTGGAGGAGGACCAATCCACCATATTGAAGTCATCAAAGTAGGAAGAGGTCACTGTGAGCGCCACTCTACGTGACGCAGCTTCACTGAATCTGCTGTACCGATTGAATGACGTGACTGCAAGAGGCAGGCCGAAAAGGAGGCCGGAGTAGATCTGGAATGCCGGGGCCTGCCATTCTCGGTGCCACCACACCACCAGGCAGCACAACGCCTCCTCTTCTGACATAGGGCAATGTCTGTAAGCATCCGGCCAGTCTTCGCCTCCGGACTCAAGGGAGTCACTCTCCCTAGCCCGCTCCAGCTCACCCTGGGGCAGCCTGGCAATGACGGCCTGGGCATGCTGCGCTGGTCGCAGCGCGCTGCAGAGCACAAGCTTGTTGGATTCCCGAGACGAGGCCGACTGGCCTCCCGTGTCTGCATTGTCAATGATACGCTTCTTCCCGGAAGACTGCGTGATGACGCATCTTGGTACGAGTCGAAAGGGCTTCCCTTTGAGCTGTGCCAAAAGGGCCTGCTTTGTCAGTGGAGGGGAGCAAAAGCCAGACTCAAAATCTTTGGTTGACTGGGACAAGAGGAAATCGTCGTCCCTGGAAGGTCCAATTGACTGCAGAATTTTTGCATTGTGCGCCCGCCAGTCGCCCAGCACGTCCTCGTAGGAGATATGGTCTGCTGGCATTTGCGGGAAGATGCCATAGCATGGCGCGAAACCCACTGCCGGCATACCTGCTATGAGGGAGAAGGGGAGAGCGGTATCTGGCCATGCGAAGAGCACCACCAGGATAGCTACCAGACCCACGTCTCGCGCCGCCGTCACACGGCGAAGTGCTGGTTGCTGAAACCCTCGAAGGTGAGCATCCAAAGCTGCGCACCGTCGTTTCAGCTCCCTGAGGGCTCCCATTGCATCTTGTCGCCACTGCCGCAATCTTGTTCGCTGCGAAGCCGTGAAGTCAGCGGCAAACTGGAGGTCATTGTCCAGCACGGGAGCCTGTTCCGTAGGCATGGGTGTACGGATGCGCGCCAGCGCTTGTTGGAAGTGTACATCAGCTGGCAGGCCAAACGAGATCACCGGCGGCAAGGCTGCCCGTTGACTGAGTGCTCCTGCCTGCTGCCCCGCCGCTCTCTGTAGGATGCGCACGGTGGAGGGACCAGTGGCCGGGCCGCAAGCACCAGCCCAGTCAAGCTCCGACACTCGGAGCCAGCGCCTGTAAAGATCGAACGGGGGGGCATTAATAAGGTCCTCGATGCAGGGAAAGGTGAACCCGGTCATCCATGCTTCCGGAAAGAGCTTGCGGACTGCGAGGACCACGTCTTCCTGGCGCATAAAGTCGGAAAAGATGGAAGATGCATCCGCCAGCGGAGCTATGGCCAGCCCCAGCGCTCTAGGGAAGCGATGGCTCCGCTTCCTTGCTCGGCCCCTGGGGTTGGTGCTCTGCTGCGGCTGTGACGTGGATCTCACAGTCGACAAGTGCTCAAAGACAAGGCCCGCCAAAGCATCCCCTTCCGAGGGGTGTTCTGCCACGGCATCGACCACCAGGACTTTCCCTATCAACTCGGTGAGGTGGTCGCTCAAGTTGTCCCTGATGTGTTGAACGTAGCGCGGCAGGAACTCGTCGAATGCGCAATCGTGACCCGCCGTGAAGGGAGGTGCCCATTTACTGCGCGCCAGCCGATGTCGGTGATGGCCCGGCCCCACGTAAATGCAGTTACGTGGGAGGGTCCCATCGGCACCAATGACTGCTTCCACGACTTTCCTCGGTGGGATCCGAGCTGCTTCTTCGGCACTAGCTGGCCCCAAACCCAAAGAGATGGCAAGCGGTGCCAGCGCCCATGACCGCAAAGATCTCGGATCCATCAGTGGCCACTCCTCACGCCGCCCCACGCAACAGGGCGTCGGCATGCGCGGCACAGCCAGCTTCGCTCGGCCCACCCGGACGGCCCACCATGACACGGAAACGGCAACTGCAAAGACAAATGGCGCTGTGTACTCCGCCTCCTCCTTGGTGGGGTACACGTATCGTCCATTCAGCAGATATGGTTGCCACTCGTCACTGGCATGCACATGGTGGCATTGGAGGGGGGGCCATGAGGATATCTCTGGGATGTTGTGACGAAGGCGCTGCCTCTTGCATCGGGCTCCTCCCCAACAACAGGCATCATAATGAGTATCCGCCCAGAGCCCTGTGCGGAAAGCTGCCACCTCTTGCTGAAGTAGCCAATGCAAGCTGTTCACCGGATTCTCTCGCATTGCCCCAGCTCCTCTCTCCGCCACCTCTTGCATGACTTGCAGCATAAAGCCACAGGCATTGTTGTCACGCTTGACGCGGTGCTGATCCGCCGGCGACAGGCCGTCCAGTCCCTCGGGTTGTCGAGTAGAGCGGAGGGGACCTGGGCCCCGGCGCCCATCATCGAACACCCTCGGCACCTCCCTCGCTCTGCTTTTGGTGGAACAGTCGAACGCCGCGGACACAAAATCGGCCTCCTTGAGCTGCTCCCTGAGGCTCTGCTGCCGAAGGGGGTGTGCCAGATCATGCGAGGAGTCCAGTTGAATATCCA